GCGCGTGACGACGCTCGGGGAATAATTCCGGGGCGAATCAATTCGCCGATATCAGCGATAATCTCGAGGGACGATTCTCATTGAACGCCACTTGCGCGATCGTATCATTTAACGGAGAGATAGAGAAAGTCGCTCGGCGCGCGACAGTTTCGCGTTGATCTCGGGCTCTCGTCGGCGTAAGCACGAGCGCGTTAACACATTTGGCTCGTGGAGAATTCAGTATAGGATTTCCGTAATTGTCAATTCTGATTGCTAGCGCTTCGAAAAAGAAAGAAAAAATAGAGAATAGAATTCTAAAAAATCGCGTAAAATGATATTTTTCAGTCTAGATGTAGAACTAATATTGTTTTCCTGATAGTTGTATCTTTAGCTTCAATTCGAAATCAGGACAATTCGCGGCCGTAATTAACCACGATAACGAACTACGAAAATCGACAATTTCGCTTGGCCTTCGTACGCGGTTGCGTTCTTGGTCGGCAAAGAATTATTAACCATAACCGCGCGAACGAGCGAGAGCGTCCCAACGCGTGAATATTATGAAATATTTAAGCGGACTAAAAATGTGTCGCGCGAATAAAGATGACTCTTTAAACTCTCATTAAGTACGCTTCATTTTCGGGGCAGCGCAGTTGGACAAAATGTGCGTGTTACTCGTAAACGCGACAATTAACAAGCGACAGGTAACGTAAGGGTCAGTTTAAGGGACACGTTAATAGCGCCGTTACAAGGAAACCGACATGTAGATCAATTCCTATAGTGTGTCCTTCTCGACTGTGCTGTTTCGATGAAACTGTGCTTTGTTCTTTGATGGAAGGGACACAGAGTGATCAGATTGTATATAAATGTCTCAGTATAAAAATACTGCGAAATACATCACCAAAATATTATTAAATTAATGCTTTATATACAATACAAGAAATAACTCTTTACTATTTTTTATAAAAATTTTAAAATATTTTTCAAACGTAAGATGTCGCGTGAATTATCGAGAGTTGTAGGTCAGACATCATGCTTATACTTTCTTCGATAGCGTTACTCTCTTTCCCTTTCTCTCTCTGTCTATGGTCTTTCAATCGTTCCGGTATAAAAAAGAACAAACCGATCGAAATTAATTGATATAGTTCGACTACTCCGTGTGCTCAAACGCGAGAGTTTATAAAGCAAACGGGACCAGTAGTGCGTCTAACGACAACAACTTTCGCGTGTACTATGTTTCGCAGTAAGTATAGTCTATTGTCACAACAACCTAAGAGCCATTCTCGCATATTATAGCATTAAGTCCCATTCAAACTAAGTTGCCACCAACTCGCAAGACTACTCGCGGTGAGTTAACACCACATCCACCATCAAATCTATCTCTTTGTTAAACAGTTAAGTAAAATAGGCGGTGTCTGATACAACGACGTTCAACAAGAATTGTAATAAGTAACAGTCGCGTCTGTTAGATCTATGTCAAAGCTCGCGCGATATCTCGTCAGCTTGAACGGTTGAACCTTTATTTGGACGATGAAAATCGAGCCCAGGGAGAAATGATGCCTCTCTCGACAAGTCTTGCTACCTTTCAGTCATATCCGTAGAGTTAACACCCCATTAAAAAGTCATAGCAATTGAATCCCGTCTCTTTCCACAAACGGAAGTACATAGCTGCGCGATCTAAAGTAATCTATCCATTATCCGCAGCCGTTCTTTCGATATCGTTTTTATCCCCGTTCATCACATCATTTTTCCCTCCCGCGAAACGTTCGATTTGCACGTCTGGTTAAATAATCCGGTTAATGGGCAGAGTAAATTTCTGAAATGAATTCTGAAATCTGAGGGTGAGAGAGATTGACTCGCTCTCTCGAGTTCGGAACGGCGCCGAATGGGGTGGCCGTGACGCGTAACGCCGACACGTTTCTCCGCCGAGCTCGCGAATAAGGTTTCTCATTAAACCCCGTATGAAGTACGCGTTCCAACAGCGGGAAGGCTTCTCTCGGGTCGACTTCTTCTCTCAGATATCGCGGGCAAACATTTGCTTTCCGTAGTATCAATCCGCGGTAGGTAGCGGCAAGGAACGCGGCGGGTAGGAAGGTCGTTGCGCGGGAAGTATCTGCAGGGTCGTTCCCGAGCGGATCGACCGGCGTAAAGAGGGCATAAAGCACCCGGCTCCATTACTCTGCCTTAGTAAATCGGTACCGACGCTGAAGATCGCGCGCGCGACCCAATTCCAGCCGTTCCTGTTATACCTAATACCGTATTTTATCAAAGATAATGCGCGCCCCTACCGTTGAATAGACACCCGTATTGTCACCGTGGCCGCGCGAAAATGTCCGCTAAGCGCGCGCGAAAGCGGCTTATAAATTGTTTCCTGACTATTGCGACAGATCGTGGCGGGGAGTTTTTGAGAAATGGATTCTCGATAAGCGACAGCGATTCATTCGTTTAACGCACTCGGGTATTCGTAATTAGCCGGGAAATAAAAATACACTTCTTTCGTCGTTTCTTCGTGTTTTGTTAAGAACGAAATTTTCGCTCGCGAATCACGTGGCTGAAATGGGATTATTACATTCTTTTCAACCCCGGAGCTCGTTCGTCTGGTTTGCCAGAGCAATGTTATTGATTTTTTTTCTCGAGGATATTTCAGCGACTGCGTTAATTAAGCAACTTGATGAAACGAACCGTTCGAGAAACAAAAACGACGTTAAAAATAATCGGCACCTCGCTCTCTTAATCGCGACGTTAATTAATGAAAAGCAAAGAGAAACAACAAAACGCGGCAATAATTTGTTAAAAATTCCCCGGATCTCTTCTGCTTTTACGGTTGTCCCGGCGATAGTGCAAAATGGCAGCTAAAGAATATGCATCTGCGTCGAAGCCAAGGTAACAGTGACAGCAACGTGCAGCGAATGCCGTTGCTTATTTATTCCCGGAAATATTGCGAGAAACTTGAATAAAAATATGAAAAAGCGTTTGACATACAAAAGAAAATAAATTTTCTTACTTCCACGGGGAGTGTAAGTCGGTCACCATCAATCCGAAAGTGGCACACGACTCGATCAGCTCGATCAGGCTGAAAGAAATGCGCGCTCTCGATCGACTGATCTCTCATCCATTCGCTCTCAGCGATCAGCTATGAGCGTGGCGCGAACTACCCTCCGATACAAACGTGCACATCTAATTTGGGAAACGGGAACGAAACCCAGCACCGAGAGCACCGCCGGAGCATTAATAACGAGCGGGGAGTGTCGGGTTACCCGTAGCCGAGTTGCTTGTAGCAGGTATGTCAAGCGGGAGAGGAGAAACTGGGGAGAGAACCTTCGTCAGCAATGAGCGCAATCACGTACGCAGTCGGACGAGCCAGTCAGCCAGCCAGCCAACCAGCCAGGCAGTCAAGCATTCAGGCAGGTGGATATCAGCGCGCGACGAAACAAAGTTTATTTTGAATCAGCCACGGCAACCGAGTCGCACTATTCGCCGGCGAATAGCGCCACGAGTATCGTTATAGTAGAGCCGTGCGCGGCTTCGACAGGGTATTCTGCTTGCAGCTAGGTTCTCAACATCGACTCAACGTAGAGACAGACAGACAGACAGACAGATAGACAGACAGACCGACTGAAGCGGAGCTTACGACCCAAGGGGGCAAACAGTGGAGAGAAGCGAAACGAAGGACGAGGACGCTCGCGCGGAGCTTGACGCCGGGGGTAGGATGGCGTTAGAGCCGGCGATGGTGATTGTTACGGCGACGACGTTTCAGTTAGCTGAAACGTCGTTTCCTTTGTCGCGTTTGTGTGAGGAAGGAACTGTCCTCGATGGGGTGTACAGACGTGCACCCTCACACGGTCGCGCTACAACCGCACACCGCATGCCACGTACACTCTCGCACACCACCGTATGCACGCGACGCGAGCGCGCGGCTACGAGAGATGTGTATACACATACACACACATACACACGCAACGCGCTTCGACGGTACACCCTATCTTACGGAGGGTTGTTCGGAAGGTATACCTGCGCGACGGTATTCGTCGTGCAAACTTGGAGCTTGCACGAGCACCAGCTCCTTCTAAGACTTCGCCGGAGTAGGGCTCTGTATAGAGAGAACGAGAGAGCGGGAGAGCGGGCGCAGAGAGATCTCGATTCGGGTTAATTGTGGGCTTCGTCTATAGACTCGGTGCTCTCGGGCAATGAATTTTAGGAGTCGTGCGCGCGGTATCGCGCTGCCGGCGCTGGCGAGGGGAAGAGGTCGGACGGCCGCGTGCACTGTCGAGCGGATATATTTATGCGCGCTCGTGGAAATTCTTCGATCTGATTGCGAGCGAAGAAATTGCCGAGGGAATGAAAACGTCTGCATTAGCGAGATACTGTTTTCAAGACGTTCGGAAAGAAGACCGCGGCCAGTTGCCCGCGCTTAGGCTCTGCGTGTCGCGCTCGATAAGAGCGGCCGAATTTACGACGGCAACGGCAGTATGCCGGAAGAATAACGAGGATTTAGAGATTTCGCGACTGAGAGAGCCTCCGGCAATCGATACGGGAAAAACGCGTTTTACATTTTTCCAGATTCCAAGCTGCCGCGAACGAAATTCGACTTAACGCCGTGAACCATGCGGGATGAACGAACGAGCTTAATCTAATCTTAAAGGGGATGTTGCAAAATCCCCGAAAGCGCCGGCGAACTAAGCATCCGCGAGGAATTCGATTTTATCTCAGGGCGCTATTTACAAAAACGAGCTGTAGCCGAGACGCAAATGTGAACTCTCTCAAGGGAACCTCTTCATCTATGTGAAATTCCACACGGTTCTTGCAGATGAAGATTTTGCCCGACTACGTTACGGCATTCGCTCGCACGAAACGATCTCTACGATACCTCTTTCCCTCCCTGCATTCGTCTCGAATCTATCAAGTGAAAAAGAAAGACCGTTGCGAATCTGCGCAAACAAAGTTTCAACATGCGGGAAACTGTCGGAAAATAAAATCCTCGTCCGCGGAACGCGCGGGGGTGATTGAAAGAGAAACTAGAGACAGTCGTTCATGCAATAGTTTATTATGTTTCGTAAAAATAAGTATTTACATTAACAAAAAAAGTAGTATAATGCTCAAAAACAATAATATGTTTAACACGTAGCAAGATCTTAAAACTAAAGAGACTCTTAAGTCGAATTATAAAGAGAGAGAGTCCAACTTAATGAAATACATTAAATGTCGTATCTCTAAACCTGTAAGTCACGTTACATCCGATTGCGATAAGTTTGATTTCATCTCGCAGAGAGGTTATCGTAACTTTTTTGGTGACCTCGATAAACTATCAGTAATGAATCCAACGAATCTTTATCTCACCTATCCACTTACAAAAACGAGCTTCATCTAAAGCGCGCAAAGGTTAACTGTTCGCAAGGGAACTACCCCGTCGTCGCCACATTTCATCCCTGAAACTTTCACGAAATTACACGGTAGTGTAATTCACGCACTCGTTCGCAAGGCAACATTTCTCTTCTCGTTCCATCCTTGCAAATTAAAAGAGAAAAAAGAAAAAAAAAACAATTTACAGATCTATATAATAAATCAAATATCGGTAATACGATCGTAAAAACCTTACGCAATCACTCTGTTTCTACTCTTAAAACTTAACTTTCACGGTCATCGCCGTAAATTAACAATCCTACGACTTTCGGACAGTATATTGCGTCTGAGACTATCGAGACTGTTTGACTTCTCGTCTCGTACGTCGCGCGAATTATCAGCACGATCGGCACCGATCTCCACGATTCGATCGTGCAATTTAGCCGCGCCGGAGGCGCGACCAGTCCGCTCGCGCGAGAAATAGGAGCGTGTCGTCTTTTTCGCGAAACTTTCGTGCGGTTTCACGCGTACACTACGCGTTGCTTCGCCAAGATTCGCAAGCGGTCGCGAACGTGCCAAACGCCGTACGTGTGTGCGCGCGCGAGGAGAACGCAAGAAAGGTGGGACTGCGCGAGGGTGGAGGAAGGGAAAAGGGACAATACGGGCGATTCCTCTGTGTGCTCAGGATGGAGGAACAAGCTGCGCGTATATAACCGGCTTATAGACGCGCGGAATCGTCCGCGGGCTTTATCGTCCGTTTAATAAAGAGGCAGCGGGCGAGAGAAGAATGAAAAACGCAATATTCGTGCCGCCCTTTTCCAACGGCGCGTCGGTTTTCTCCTCAATCTCCTTCGATAAATCGATCTCGAAACGGGCCCTTCTTCAGATTATACGGCCGACGACATCGTATGCTTGTAGAGAGGGAGAAAGATAGAGAAGGAAAGAGAGAGAGAAAGATAGATAGAGAGAGGGAGAGGAAGAGAGAGAGAGAGGGAGGGAGAGAGAGAGATAGAGAAAGCGACGCGACGACACTCATCTAGAACTCGACTGGACACAGACGATTGGGGATTGGTAGAACGTGTCGTCCAGTTTAAACATTACCTTTTAGAAGGAGTCTACGAAAGGAAGAGAGCAATATAGCGGCAAGAGAAATGTATCGTGTTGTGAGAAAGAAGAAGACAGGAAAAAAAGAAGAAGTCAGAGAGAGAAAAAAAGAGAGAAACAGATTGATCAAATGGCTACCCCTTCCTCTCGCTCTCTCTTCCACTCTTTCTAGACGTCGTTAAAAAGCAGCCGATCGAGCAACAAACTCGTTAGAGAGCCGACCGCACGCGGTCGGGCAATAACGGTCGGCGTAAGTACATACGTGCGCCACGCTCGTCCGCAGCGGAGGCCAACGGGGGCAGTAGCCACGTCGTTCTCTCCCGCGTATAAAATGCGAAAAACAAGAACGCGGGGAAAAAAGGAAGAGCCAGCACTGTCCGACCCCGCGTGTTCGCACGGCGCGCGCGGTGCCCTCCGCTTCGAAAATCGCGACATTGATCCGCGAGCCAGCCCGGGCGTTTGGACAATGGACGAATGGACTCGAATCGCGCACGATGGCATTCGTCTTTGCCGGCTGTAACGGGGAGATATTCGAGTGCGCGTCGAGTGCGCGTTGTTACCGGAGCATTGGCAGTGGGGTGGTAGTAGAGGTAGCGCGAGGAGGTCGCGGATGTGCAGCTCCTCTCTGTCCTTTTCTCTCTTTCCTCTCTTCGTCGGTATGCGAAAACTTTTCGCACCGCTTTATTCGTTCCTCTTGCTTTGTGCGATCTTACCGTGCCTCCGGCTCGGGGCTCCCTCGTCAACGGTGTAGCGGAAGAGAACATCTCTCACTCTCTTCCCCCGTCGCTTCCTTTCTCTCTTTCGCGCTCACTTGCACGCGCATACACACACACGCACACACATACAAACTCTCTCTCTCTCTCTCTCTCTCTCTCTCTCTCTCTTTCTCTTTCTTTTTCCCTTCGTCACAGCAAGGATCACAAATCCTTCCGGAGGCGGATTGTGTATAAGCACCTATAGACGTATACGTGCAATCGACTTGAAAAGTCCTGTCTCTTGTCCTCTTCCTCTCTCGTTGTCGTTCTCCTGCAGCTTCGAGAACGCACCTCTTTTGTTCATTACTGGCCGTACGTCAAATTGAGCGTCGTGACAGTAATGGAACGCGACTAATTGGCTACGTTGCTTTTCCCTGTTTTTGATTCTCCGGTGCTGTGAAGCGCGTCGCAGCGGATCCTCCCAAATTCGGCGGATTAAGCTTGTAGCGATGCTTCATCCGATTACCTATCTCTCCACCGGGCGCGGTCCAATCCGGGATGCGCGTTAACCCTTGACTGGCAATGCGCGCTCGTTTCTCTCCTTTCTCTCCCATGTTCTTCTTCTCTCTTTCTCTCTCTTTCTTTCTCCCTTTCCGCCTTTGTTATCCACTTGTCTGTATATATGTCGGAGAGACAAACGAGAAACGATCCGCGCGTAACTGGGCATCTTACAAAATAACGAGCTATACAAAGGAGCTGCGGTCGTAACGTATAACGATATAATCCACGATCTCGGTTGGTAGAAGTATCAAACGTTAAACGTCGTGTCCTTTTGATTCTAATCACAGCGGTAATGTGCTCGAGTCCCAAAAAATGCTTTCACCAACCGCGTATTAGCACCCGTCGCGCTGTTGTCAACGATCGGTAGTGACGAACGCAAACGCATAAGGGGCCGAGGGGTGGGACGCGGAATATTCACGCTCCCACACCCGCTCCGAAGAAACTCGATGCACTCTGGACGAGGAAAAGAGAACGAAATTAAAAAAAAAAGAAGAGAAACAGAGAAGAGAGAAAGACACTTAAAATAGTCGGTTTTAACAATATCGTTTGTTTCGGCGCCGTCCACACGCGGTCCTCAAACTCTCCCTCCATCGTCTTCTCCTCCAGGCCCTTCTCCTGCTGACTAGTGTGCTATTTATCATGCGACGCCCGTGAGCTCCCTTCTCGTGGTCTCAGGCGTATCGTGACTATCTCAGAAGCAGATGGAGCATGCCCAGGCAGAGTATTGTCACAAAGGTCATTGTATGCGTGCCGCTGCCGTTTTCTGAGGTCACTGCAACACACAGTAGAAAAATCTTATCATTTCCCGTGATATTCGATGACAATTGCACAATTCCCGTTTCCGATGTGTTAACATCGTATTGCGCAACCAACCGACTGATCGGTGAGTAAATTCGTATAATAAAATCAAATTTGTCAGTGAGTTGATTAGCGAGAATTATCTTTGCATTGCATCAGAAAATCGCTCGTTTGCTCAGTGTATCGACGAACGTTCTCTTTGAACTTTTATTTCGCAGCGCGCGTCGTTTTTGCGACATTCCGACTTTATTGGACACCGCTGTCGGCGCGAGTATCAAAAGAAATAACGAATTCTCGCGCTGTAATACGGTATCTGGCTGAAAAGGAAAATTGGAAAGTGTTGCCCGGTGTAACACGTGAAATTATCGCTTTTAACGGGTATTCACGCGCGTGCGGGAATATGTTACGGCTTTTATTATTCATCATGCTGTAAAATAAAATAGATCTAATAAGAGAGGAAAGGTTTTCCCAAGTTGAGCACTCTGCGCGTTGCATTCGAATTTCTTGGCAGTGCAGAATTTGTATGCGCTGCGCGGTCCCTATTTGCACAGAACGATGGCACGTATCGACCGGTCGTGCCAGTTGAAACTTTATTTTTTAGCGAATTCTTTACGTCAAACGATTTAAACGCGGAATCCGTTCGCACACGCACTCGTTGCGTCACGCGAGGAAAGCGAAACCAAGAAAAAATAATTGTCCCATTAATGCTGACTGATTACCGGCGGTAAACACATTCCACATATATTTCGTCTCGTTAAAACGTCGTCATTATGCGGCGCGATATTCCGAATCGACACGTCTCTAATCAATAGCGGCGTCGATAACGACGCAACATGTTCGATCGAAATGGCGCGGCAAATCTGATGAATAGATACATATCAAATTCATGGAGCACCGCGACGACGATAATCAGTTGATTTTAGTTGGGCTTGCGATTCACCGCGGTTACCGGCACGTGAATATAACTTGTATGAAAGCTAAGTGTATAGAGTATCGCGACCACGATTACGGTATTTTAACTGATGCGTCACGCAAGTGTTATTATTATAATCATCCAGGGTTGTGCGCCACGATCGATTCAGCGATGCGTTCGGAGACAAAACAACGGCGCGTTGCACTCTTTGATAAAAGTGTCCTGCGCAGACGGGACGTATGATATGACGTGGGCCGAATTAAACGATATCGGTACGAATCTATCTGCAAAAAACAGGTAGCTCGATTCGGGGAAAAAGCTTCGATAAAAAGATTTCCTTTTCGCTCGACGTTTCATTTTCTCACGGGACATATCACCTTTATCCAATTACTTCCCGCGATTGCCCTCTCCCTTCAATTGTTACGACTTCCGAGTTTCCTTGTCAGCCCGCGCGAGCCAAATGTATAGGGACTATATATTTTGTGGGTCGGGACGATAGATTATCGGGGAGCGATGTCGCGTAAAACGACATTTTTCTCCGGGCCCGCGTAAGATTAAACCTCGCCTGGCAGGGCGAGGCGTGTCAACTGTTGAAAATCCCTTTCGGAATGGAAAGTTCGGGGGCGGCGCACGAGGGGCGCGCGCCATTAAATGGAACGTCAGTGGATTTTCCTCCGCGGGGCATTGTTCCTTCTGTCGGGTGGAAAAGTCAATTTCCTAAAAACAATTCTGTCGACCACGGCCCAGGGAGTAATACGTACGAATCAAGCAACCAGCCAGCCGCTCGCGGAAAGCCCGGTGTGAACGAAATGAAATTACTACGGGCGCAGAAGCGAACGAATTCCTGTAACGGCGCGGCAGCGCGCCCGTGCACGTAGGGAGTGGGATTGGGAGGAGGGCAGGGCGGAGCCCGACGGTAAAGGGACTAAAGTGGAATAAGCTCCGACAGGTTCGAAAATTGAGGAGGGCCGAAATCCTTTGGTCGCTTATCAATCGTCGGGGTTTACGATGTACGCTCCCCTCTGGTCTCCTATCAAATTTATCCCAAAATGTTCGGGAGTTTTGCGAACGATTGCGAAATCGCGGGCGCTCGGATTCTCCGATAGCGACCGATGGCAATCGTTGATATTACTTTTGGAATATTTCGCCTGTACGTAAAACACGACGAGTAATCTCATGATCTGTTTCGCTCGCCGTGCTGTGCGCGTGCCGTCGTGTGCCTTTTCAATACAAATTTAAATATATTTTACACAAAATATACAAAATATATTGGAAACTTTTAACTATGGATCATTGCGGCCATTTTTGCGCACGTTTGCTTGATAAAATTTCGAGACTTTAATAATCCCTCGACTAAAAATGTCCTTCTCCATGGATTGACATTTAATGACAGAAAACTAATCAGGAAACTCAGTTTTTGTTACAGATTTGTCAGAGGCTGCAGTCGCACGAAGGGTGCGGCTCCCGGGATGGTGCAATCTAGGTGGACGCGAATGGCGCATCGGAGGATCTGGGCCGAGCAATGTCGGCTCAAAGGTAGATTTACAAACTCTTTTTATTCTCCAATGTTTAATTCTTTGCGATCAAAAACCGGGACATAGTTTTCGTATGATCCTCGCTGTTAATCCTCATGTCTAATCGATGAAATTGTACCTTTTGTTCCAGATGTGCGGCGTGAAACGTGGCCGAGTTTTTGATCTTTGCGAATCAGCGAGTCAGAAAAGTGAGTAGAGAGAATGATTTAAAATTCTTTATAAAATTGGAATTATGAAACTCTCGTCCAACATTACGATTTATTTGTAGATTTTTGTATATATGTGTTGTCCAACAAATTACACTACTCCGAGCAGTCAGGGAATTTTTTGTTTAAATATATTGTTTAACATGGCTATTTACACGGCTGAACAATTCGATATATATTTTTAAAGATATTTAGTTACAATATTTCTTCTTTTGAAAGAAATTTAAAACATTTCTTTTCCATCCTTAATTTTTTAAAATTTCTAATCAGCAGTGCGTCTATATTTATAGAAATGCTTTGGCATTTATTATACTTAATAAGAGATATAAAATTATTTGAGAGAACTATTTCATTAATGCATTTCTCTAATTGTTCACGCAGTGCAAATACGCGTAAATATTGCGCCATTATACGCGGGATTACTTTTTGGCGCGCGATAAATTTTGCACAATTGTCGTAAACATTAACTTTTTAAGTCGCTCAAATGTGACGGATATAATGTCATTAAAGTCGAAATCATCGCTAAATCCATATATATTTATCTGTTTCTCGCTTTCCTTAAAAATTACAATTTTTACGGACGCTTTGTTTCTCGACAAAGTCCGCGTGAACACTCTTTCGCTCTCTCTATCTCATCGGAAATGTTACAAGCCTCTATTCGCGACTTTTCACTTGCGACTCGTGAGTATTCTTTCGCGGTTATCGCGGACTTTTTAATCGCTTAATCGTTTTGAAGCACTTAAAGTCGTTTTCGAGCGTTAACTCGTCAAATCGTCAAGTGCCGTTCAAATGATCGCGCTAGCGAGGGCAATGCGGTGAAATGAGTGAAGAGCAATCGACGTGGAACGACGGCTGGAGGCTACGGAGGCCGGACGCCGCGGACGTTGGACGGATTGCGGAGCAACGCAATCGGGACACACAGCGGTCGGTTTCATCGGCAGATCTGGACGGCTGGACGTCGTTGGATGTCAACGCGAAATGGTGAGGGTACACGCTCACAAAACGTCAAATTACGTAGTGCATGTTCAGACGTAAATCGCATTGATTCCCGACGAGAAAAGGCCGCGCAGCTCGTGAATTTTGACAATTCGAGATTGCTCGAGATTCAGAGATTGACCCTTTGCGTTGGCATTTAATTGATGTGAGACACGCGCGTCTATTTAAGCTGACACTCAGAGGGAACAAAGGCATACGTTACATTATGTGTCTGGGACAGGCTTGACAATTTTGACTCGTAAACAATGAACAGTCTCTAGGAGACGTGATTCCAGCGCGAAGGGTTAATTGCGGGGGCTTGTTGGTTCTAGTGTACTAGAAATAAGGAATTTTTCGCGCTTTATATGTAATACGAACAAAGAGACACGGTTCCTACGTGTCTTAATTCCGTGCGAGTACAGCGAACGCGGCAAAAGCCACTTGAACTTACCAGAGTCGCGTCAGACTTGTAGTACTTATGTGAAAATGTAGTCGCGTCGTGCGACCAGGTAACTTTTGCAAAGTTCGTAAACGCGCAGTCAAATTTTTCTTATAACACATATAAACGAGATGTGTGCGTAATAACAGCTTATGAAGCTTCGTTCATGGATTTTCGGTAAGAGGCCTTTGAGAGGGATGAAGCGTCCGCGAGGCCTGAAAGTGCGCGAGGTCTAGGCCGCGGCGGAAATCCGGAGGGTTCTTGATGTAAAAACTCTTCAGCTAACTTCATGAGCCAGTGCTTGTGAGCTCGCGACACGAGTCCTCAGAAAGTTTCGAGGAAACGATTTACTTAGAGTACAACCAAAATGCGTTACCGTTGTGCGTGCAGTTTGTCGCTCGTCTACGAATGCGAATTTCGGCGCTGCGTCGCGACGGAATAGTTACTGAAAGTTACTTCTGTAAGATGCATACCGTTAACTTAACGAAATTTCTGCCCGCCATTGTTTACACACATCAGCTTGCATATGTTATTTTGCACGGGGATGATCCTAGAATTGTTTAATATTTATCGGTGTGGGATACTTGCTCGCGAATTAGATCGTTATAATTAAATAAATAAATTAAATTAATTTAATTTATATAACTTGTATAGTTATATAATTTGATTCGAGTCGATTTTCCATTTTAACAGCGAGCGCAATTTTATATCGCAATATGTAGATTAATTTGTGCAAAAGTAATATGCAGTGAAATAACAAAAATAATAATGCAACATTAAAAATTCATATCACGATGTATTCATTAAACGATAATGCCTCGTAACAATTACAGAAATTATATCTTGGCAAACGTATCGTTATGTTTTTGAGAAGAAGCAAATATAAAAGTTTGATACGCCGTAATAATTCTTGTAAGTTTGTAGGAGTAAACCACTCCGACAACTTATTTACGCGAGGGATAAGTTCAAATCGAAAAGCAGACATTTTCCATGTCTCGCAGTAATCCATTTATTTTCCGGCGCTCGAAACTAATCGGATATTCACAAGTAATCAGAAACTCAGTGGAGTTCGACATAAACCAATAAATTTCAGGCAGCCCAAAGACGCGTTCGCACACAACTCGAGAACAGAATTCTGGCGCGACGCAACACGAAAATTTCCTATAGCTTCACAACGCTTCGGCGTTGTATCCGTTCTTTGCTCGTGGTATCGCCCATTAAGCGTCGCTCAGCAGCTTTGAGTGGTGGAGTTTTGCGGATTTGCGGCGGCCTAGAAATGGCTTATCCTCAGATCTCCAAAATGGGATTTGGCGCGCTTCGGAAATTCTTCCCGGGATCTCTTACGGGACGTCTGTGACATTTAAGGAAAGATACGCTTCGGGAAAGCTTCATTAATGTTCCCTGCCCCAAACGTTTCAGGGATTTTCCTGAGAAACGAGACGTTTTAGCCTATTGCGAGAGAAAGAGTCACTTGCTCAGAGCGCAGCCAATTATCTGAATTAATAATCACGCGATTAGCTGCGTGACACTTTGATGATGTCAGTGATCAATCACCTCTGAGCTTTCGTGCAGATGCCGGCTGCGCGGGCGAGAGCGTCGGCACGCAGTGCCGGGGTGTATCTCCCTATCTAGCTGACGGGAGCTGGCTGTGTCTACTGTGCGCGAAGCCGAGCAACCGATAAGCGTCGCCTCCCAGGCTGTTAGTCGATCGGGGGCGCGTTTTCTCCGCTCTGTAGTTTACGTGGGAACAAGAAGGGTCGAATAATCGGGTATGCAAAGCTTTGATAACAGCCACTCTTAAGGCCACGTCGGGATACCAGCGCGCACGAATCTGCGCTGTCGTGCTCGCGCGACGCGAAATTACACGCACGCGGTATATATACGTCTCGGAAAATGGGCAATCGCGGACAAATGCGGAACCTGAACATCGGGTTCTGGGATGAAGACATGTGTGTCGATAAGGCAATTAAAACTCGAGAGCTTTCGGAGACGTTTCCGGAAAATGCAACGAGCTTGATCAATTGCAAGTGCATTGACACTTATTACTGAAATGTTTTACGCCGAAAATGAATGTCGCGGACAGAATTATGATTATATAAATTTATATAATTTATTTCATTTTTAGGGGTAAGTTAACTGTATCGGTAATTTAATAAATTCAACATTATTCTTCAAAGAGCATTTTAATTGAACGTACTCGCTCATGCCCGCGAGAAACGTGAACTTTAGGCCGAAATAATCGAGAAATTAAGCGAAAAAGCGAGCAAACCACAATTGGTTAAAAAATTTATATGAAATATTTTCATGAATTTGTATGCAAACTTTCATGTCAGAGATGTATTATGAAATAATTTTACGCGGAAAACCTTAAAAATAATTACCGGGAGGTCGAGAGGCGCCGTACAGGTCCGCGCAATGTGACGCGACAATTTCTCTTGGAGAAATTTTTGCGCGTTATAAACGACGGATACACCTATCTCACGATATGCGCTAGAAAATGAAATTAATTACACGCCGAGTAATCATAGCAATTTTTAAATATAAAGCCGACTACCCCCTCCCCCCCTCCCATTACATGCGCCAAAGACTTTCGTCGCGTTAATGGAATTTGACTAAGCGCGGACGCGAATTAATTAATATCTGGAGAGATCAAATTAATTCGCGACACACAATTGCGTCAAGTTATCCCCAATTCCGGCTGCGTTGTCTCAAGACGATCCGCGTATTTTGTGTGCGTACTTAAACGCAAAATACGTATGTCGCACGGTAACCTTTGGCTGCGAGCAAAATGGCGTTGCTCCTGCCCAAAGACGTTCAAATCCCTTTCTTCTTGCCTCGTTCGTCGTCGTATACGCGAGATTAGCGTCCCGGGACTCGGGTAATTCGCGAAGCTGCTGGATGGGAGTATAGAGGGAGGATGCGTGGCGAGCTCACAGAAGGATGTCGTGAGAGAGGGCGCGGGGCGACGGGAGCGAGAGGGTAGGACACTATGGGACAGAAGAGCCGAAGTTTCGCCGCGAGAACCGACGTTTCCTCTCGGGCAAGTTTCCCCAACGAGAGGCACCGAATCTTTCGTGCCACGTACCATCGGTGTATGTATGTGTGTGTGTGTGTGTGTGTGTGTGCGTGGAGAGACGAGAATGTAAGAAGAGAGAGACGAAGGGAGCGAGGGATGAGTGGGGGTACGTATGAAATCCACGTGAATTCCGCGGCAGGCCGTCGTTAAACTTCTGTGTACACGACGTAAGTTTTTTCGCGTAGGGCCAACTCTTCGCAGTAGAAAAGACAATCTCTCGTTACGACATTATACGACGTTATTTCGAACGGACGAATGCGTTGCTCAATTCGGCGATTGTGCACTACTCCCCCTCTCCCGCCCGTCCTAGTACAAGCCGCGGAGTCCGAACGCAAAATGAGTGATCGATTTGCACCGTGCATGTTACTCACCTGCCAAAGATATTTTATCTCAATTTTGACTCGTCTATCAATTCCATAATTTCGATAATTATATCCGAATTACACTTGAATGTCCATTGACGTATAATTCATTATCAAGACGGGCTGCCGGGTGAAATTTCCCGCAGTATTGCCAGCAACTTTTAAACCAATGGTTGCGAAATCGCGCACGCGTGCGATATCAATTCGGCGAGTTAATTTTCGATACTGTATATACGGCCTTACGCCGAATATCCTGGTCCCATTGGCGTGCGAATAAAGCTAGAAATTACTTTTTGTATACCCACAACATCGACGTACGACTCCGCACCGAAATTATAGCGGTTTCAATCTCCGCTATAAATGCGCAACACTTTTATTGCTTTTATTTGCCTACACCGATATACTTTATGTGTGAATGTACGCGCGCATGTACGCACGCACATATTGCTAGCCACATGCACACATTTACGTCAAATGCAAATATTTCATATTATTCTGCCGAACCGAAATATTTATTTTAGATATTAATTTTATACAGCACACACACACACATACACACACTAGTTTTATATTCTGTTGATTTTGCATGTCGCTATAATATGTGTATTCAGTTTAATGCACATAATACCGAGAGGTTACGCGACGTTTCGATGTACGCGCGCGAGCGGGATATGTACTAACGTGCACCAATTAATTTAAATATTATTTGTGACGTCTCCGGGAAGCGTAACAAGACACGAAGGGATATTCGAAGCTGCGCTGCCGATAACAATGCGGCAAGCTCTCCCGGGCGTTAAGCGTGAATCCAGAAATGCACTCGCGCGACGAGAGGCGACGTCACATCGAATCGGCAACGTCACGCAAGGTGAACGTCATTTTTATCATATCGCGTATTGTTACATTAATGCCACGTATGAATCGGATGTTCTATAAAGGGTGCGCATTGCGATGAAAAAACGAGCGTAACGGAAAATACCATTTTTGCGGTCGCTTTTATTTCCTGTAAACGCCACAGTCTTTTATAGAGTGCCGTGTGCTGCATGCGACCGGCGCTTATTAAATGTTATCGGGCAAATGTCATTGAAAATAAAATGAACGTCGCGCGCTTTCGACCGACCGGCGTACGCAGACCGCGCTGCTCTTTTTTTTTCTTTGTGTGCTCTCTTTTTTTGCAAAATAAATAAACGCGAGGCAAACTAAACTTTGGTAGCTTAACAATAGAGAAAGAAATTCAAAGGGAAGGAGGTTAAAGGGCGAAAAACACGAATAACATTTAACGAAAAATGTCGAGGGGCTAATACGCGGCGTGGTGGAGAAGTGATTACAATGTCGTCGGGGTTACTCGCGCACGCACGCGCGCGTGCACGCCCTTGATAAATGCCGCCGCGCGCTAAAATCGAAGTTTTTATACGGTTCCGTTAATCCGCGTTTCGCCGCGATTTATTAAATTCACGCTGGCAACCGGTCAAGCCGTGGGTGTACACGGGATTGGATATTCACGTTAATTTCGTTTCCACGCGCAAACGGTTTTTCTTTATTTTCACAATTTGCGAATGTGCGAATTGTACGTGCCAGTTCGACGGTCCCGGGGAAACGGGATTACCCCCGCATTGTGCGTCAAAATGTTTTATCGATAGCGACGATGAAATTTATCAGCGTGCGATGACTAATGGATCTGCGCCTCGTTTAGAACTGTACCCGGCGCGAAATACCTCGACCGACGAAGGGGTTACGGTGAGGAGAGGAGAAGGGACAGAGGGCACCGGAGGACGAGTAAGAGTAGGATGGAGAGAGGAGGATCGCTAAGAAATGGGGAACATTATAACTTACGACGCGACGTACATTGTGCCGTTAACAATGGATACCGTAATATCGCGCACTTCAGCTTCGTATTACGTGTGATATCTCGGTTTACCGCTGCATAGTTGATTACCTATCCCGGAATAACTCTGGTTTACCGCTGCATAGTTGATTGGCTATATCGAAATAACGCGCGTTTATCAGTCCGATGTATTAAAGCGGCACACATGCGCCGCACGTATGTCGTCACAGCACGTCCCCGGCGATGTCGTCCGTCGCGATGTCGCGATAAGAAGTTTTCCGGGGGCGCTTCCCCGTGCCGGCGAATTCACCAACGTTCCTCGTCGCCGTCGCGCGCGGTCCACGACAACACCTGCCAACCGTTTCTTCGAGTCATCCATCTACCTCGCACACCGGCGTCGCATATTAAATTTCCGTTGCCGTTGGAGCGCGAGAAAACCGCCAAAAGGTCCACGTTCATCCACATCGTGTTATATACCCGGGGCGCGCACACGCAAACATTCGATATTTCCTCGCGTATCAAAACACGCGTCTCCCACCAACGTAAAAATGAGATTTCTACCGAGTGTCTCGGCTTCCACACGTTACTTCTACCTCTCGCCCGTCGCGACCGCTTTGATGCCGACATTTTCCTCAAACGCTAAACCGCTACGCTGATCATTTTTACGAATTTTTAAATACGCTCCTTCTAAAAAAAATATATGCGCAATTTTCGTTTTATCGTTTGAAATGTGCAAGTACGCGGAAAGAAAATCCAAGATTAAAGCGAGTTTAATCTAAAAGGTAGAACAGCATGAAGGCAAAAAAAAAGAATTGAATTCCGTTCTTTGTAGCGACGCGATGTCAATGCTGTCTGTCTGAGAAGTATGGGGAAGAATGAATTTATTAAAACAATGACTCCCTCACAGTATGATACGTAATAAGCAATAACTGAGCCGTATATAAAGCCGCGGGATTTTTTTACGGGGTCAGGAGGTAGCGAAAAAAGCGCACAAGGAATATTGTATCATCATCAAGCAAGATATAAAACAGATAAAAAAGGGCACAATGGCGCTTATATGCTTGTCGTGTTCTCCCAAAGCGAGTTTGCACAATACGCAAAACCCACTGGATATTTTCCCGGCCGTTGAACGAACGGAAGTATCCAATCACCCGTATTTCGAGCGGAATCCATTGGAGAGCCAGATTCAAAACACCAGGATATAGATTATCGGCGCACGATACTTTTCGATTCCGCGGGGTACGAACGCGATCATAAAATTGGGGTTGCCAACGGGGACGCGCTAGTAGCTGCCGTTGCATCCGTGTGTAATCTATTGGCATACACTGTTGCAATTTCAAAGCTAGGTTCTAAAACTAGTGACTGTGGTACAGGATTAACGGAATATCTACCGCACAACAGCAACAAAATGGAACTTGTCGAAATTACAAAATGTGGTTTGTCATCGTGATGAAATCTCGCGGATTAAACTGCGTTAATGGACCGATTGTAAGTTCAGGGACGGCGACTAGTCCTCCCGGATTGACAGCACTAGAATTTGACACGACGTATGAAGAATCCACTATTTATTCTGACTAATTATTATAAGATTGAATTAGAGAAATTTTTATAATCATATAACTTATATACGTAAATAAAAATGAGAAATTAGGACGGCCCATAGTATTTCGTGCTATATGTTGCAATCATAAAAATATAAGGTGGTGAAAGAAAAAATACTATAAAACGAAATAATGAATAATTCTTAAAAAGAAGGTAAAAGGCAAATAAAGTAGCACGTAATTAGTCAATAGGTTAATAAAACTCAAAACTCTCAATTTACTTTAAAGAGAAATAATGGCTTACAAGCAGTAAACTTTTAACGCCTAAAAGTAAAAAGTTCCCCGTTTAGTTCGGATGCAGAACTTTATGTTTCTCGCAATCTGTTGACTCCAAACTTTAATATCGCTTACAAAAAGTTGAAATGAATAACAAGTAACGCATAACGATTCGATAATCCTCCCTTTTCCGAGCAGCAATTTTACCTCGCGGAAATATTTCATAACACGCATTGTCGTCGCGTTGGCTATCTTTGTTCCCAACGGAGCTCGTCCGAGCAACATCCGCGAATACGGGAATCATCGGGGTACCTCCGACCCAGCACGTACACGGGGCGACGAAAGTTGAAGCGCCGGCGGGTGTTTGCACCGGGCAAAGGATGGAAGAACGGGTCGGCCGGCCGGAAGGTAATGGGAGCGTAGGTTATACCCGTGGCCGCTCAATTAAATCTCGTCGACGTCGCGTGCAGGAAGCAGGCCGCGGCATGCACCGGAGGCTTCCTTACCGATTTCGAGTGGGTGGACCCTGCTCTCGAAATTTATTAGTCCGTGCGACCGACCGACTAATCCAGACCCGGATAGCCCGAGCGTGCGACTATTACCCGCAGCGTACGCTGCTTCATCGTAGACCGGTCGCCCGGGTCATCAAAAGGGCAGGGCAGGGCAGGTGTGCACTCGCGTGGCAGTTACGACGAAGCGGCAAAACGCAACTCGCGCTGCAATCGTCCCTCGCGAGGATCGTCTTGCACGACTCTTGAATTCCAATTTCGTCGATTCGTGTCGAGGGTTAGTTTAAAAACTTGGCCATGCGAGTTGCTGCTACTCGAACTATGTTACTCGAACCATGTTACTTGATCATAACCGATCCTTTAATGCGAAAGACGTCGTAAAGTCGCAATAGAAGACATAAAGACATAAAGACTTTATTGAATTGACTACTGACCGAACACGACCAAGTTACTTGAGCTCAAGTCAAGTTAGGAAAACGGGAGATTGTCGATCCGTCATGTGTGAGATTCGTTTCGGCTTGATAGCTTTGATACATTCACGTTGCAGAATACTCGATTTGAATGGTGGCATTCGGTTAGCTTTGATAAATTCGACAAGACGACGTGACGTGAGCATGCTCGCTCGAGACGCATTCCGATCTGAAATACCAAGCGCTAAACCGTAGCTCAAGAAAATGTCGAGGTATCAAACAAAACATGCGAGTCTCCTTGTCTCATTACAACATTACATTTGAATGGTTTGCTTGATTCGGCCGGATGTGCAATGCCACACGTTGTCGCGCGAAGATTCTTGTTGAATGGCCGACGAGTCGGCTCCGAAAGGGGAATTTATAGGACACGGGGGCCCGCGAGCAGCGGTTTATGGTACGCTACGGAGCAAGCGGAAATAAAATTTATATTCACCTCTTTCGGGTACTGGCTCACGTATACCCGCGCCAAGCTGCAGCTCGCTTACTGCCGAGTATATGCCGGGGATCTGCGCGGTGCACCGTAGATTCAGTTGGCCGTTTGCGTAATGGAACGGCTGCAGGGCGAGACTGATTTCGCTCAGTTGCACCCCATCCTCGTCCTTCGTTTGGTGGTGCCTCGTGTTCGACTCCACCTGCGACAAATCAAGCGTGAGCTCGTCGCCGAACGTCGAGCGCGAAAAAGTGCATCGCGAAGGGTGAGAGATCGGCGGCAAGGCGGGACTCCGAGAAGAGAGCCGGCGAGATGTAAATCTACTCTCAACGAGATCCATTCATCCGGAATCGGAGGGTGAACTCTTGCTCGTCCTGTCCACCCGCCCCCGCCCTTTCGTCATCCCACGCCCTTCGACGCCGTCGTCCTGCGCCAAGTACAAAGACGAGGGTTTCCAGTTCAATGGAAAGTCGGAGGATTCGCTCGCTCGGCGCCGTGTTCTTCCGATTAATGTCTCTACCCTTCCCCAGTTTTTTCCCTTCCTGCGTGAAATCGGTTCTCTCTCGGCGAGTCGCCGCGACGAGCGAGCGAGCGAGCCCGTCGAAAGTATTGGCCGGAATGACCGAGTTCCGGCTTCCTTAATGGATCATTATCGTCCCCGGGAACGTGATGGCGTCGAAAGTGAGTTATTCGGACGAATCGCACGGTGGAGTGAATTGTAAGTGAATCGCGAGAAGTTTACCTAAACTTTCGACGACGTAGGCGACGACAGATCGATAGAGCCATTCTACTTGCTCGTACGTATTGTCTCCGGCGACGCGTTGGAATCCCGCGAGACGTATAATTTTCGCGCGGAGCGGTGAACGCGACATCGCCGGGTGAACTTACAAAAAGGAATTTTTCGACTTCCGATGCGGCAATATCACGAGCATCGTGAAGATCGCGCGTTCAGTCGCGGAGGAGCCTTGCTCCCGAAACACTCCGGCGATAAAAGTTAAGCAAGATGCATGTACTCGCCATAAATATGAAATTTACCGAGCGCGCACGCATATACACGTTTACTTTCCGTTCAAACGTCAGTTAAAGCCTAATAATCTTGCTTAATAGTTTCTTAAGTGATAATAATCTCAGTAATAACATAATTCCTGGTTCGCAGTGTTATATGCGCACCTGATGCCGGCGTGCTTCGAGAAGATAGTTGTTACGAAGTTTAACTACACTCACCGTCGAACTGATGGTAAATTACATCGAACATATTCCTTATATATAGGTTAAGACGCGCTATGCGCTACGAATGCATTTTTTTTCTCGAGCGCTAAACAAGTTGTAACGTTGCTGAAACAATCACGATAAAATAGGCGGAATTTTATACGGCAAGTCTGTATTATTGATACACCCTCTATAGGAACCGCGAATACTTACAAGCGCGAGAGGGTGCTCTAAAAGATAATCACGAAGGAAGCGCGTCACGCGAAATCTTGCAGGATAATCGCCTCGAGTAGCAATCAGTACTACAGTGAAATTTGATCTTAGAGGGTGATTGTAGCCAGTTGAACGAAGCCAAGTAGAATTAATGAAAGAATCTAGTGGCGAAGCCACTGCTGTGTTGTACGAAATGTCACAATGACGACATCGATTCTGTAAGTCATTCTCTCTAAAAGTGAATTAGTAAATAGTCACTGATATCAGTTATGAGTATAGCACTGAGCACTTTCAGTGCTATACTTATAACTGCAATCAATGTATATTCACTGTTTTCAGTGATGTTTGATTGATTCATTTTAAGAGAGTAAGTTCCCTCGCGCTAGGGATTGTTTTCGAAAAGAATTCGGAGTTCAAGGACGAGCTATTTGCAAAGACGAAAAGTTTCACTTGGTTCTGTTATATTATTCAAATATTCCTTTTTGTTAAGTGTACGTACATACATACATACATGTTACGTATAAATTACGTTTCGCGAAAAGTCGGTTCGGAATAATAGTTGAATAGAAAATAGAATAATTGAAGGAGATAACAAAAAGTCTTTGAAAATGTACACAACTTAATGGCGTTTCCGTGAATTTCAACGCTGTTTGTTCCCGGAAACGCGATCAACTATCTCGATACGCGGATAAAACTCGGCTCGCGGGAATTACACGATAAAACGCCACGCGAATGAATGAGTCGACGCGAGAGTAGGGAAGAGTATATCCGCAAGATAATTGATACGTCAAGATGTTCGCGCCACTTCGAGCAAACAATATCGGCCGAGTTGTGCGCGCGTCACGGGAGCACTTGCTGACTTTACGTTTTCTCAGCGGAGGAATTATGCAATTCGCGCGATCTGGCGTGATATACGGCGGCACGCGCAAAAAAGCATCTCGACCAATGATTAATGACCGAGTAGCATTGATGCTGATCCCCACGCGCCATGGTAAGTGCACCCGGTCGAATATAAATTCCGCTTTTTAAACAGCTACCGGCGCGAAATTCAATCTCGGAGGGAAGTGAGCGAAAGTGATTACAGCGGTTGAATACAGATTATGAGAAGGCGGCCGCCTACGTCATATTTAAGCGCCCCGGATTTTCTTTGTGAGCGTCTAAAGGGAAGGCTATATCGTTCCTCTTTCTCTCTCTCCCGTCGGCACACTTTCGTGTCCCGCGCGATGGAAAATTAATAAAGAAAAAAAAAGAAAACGCTTCAGTTTACCTAACGGATCGTGAAATTTTCTATTATGAGATTAAATGTGCTGGTAGGTACGTCCTATTGAGGAAAAGAACCGTTCTAATATTACTTGGCGCGCTATAAAGAAAGCTTTGACGCGGTCGCAATTTGCACATTTTTGCAAAGTCACATTTCGTGCGCTCGTGCGCGACGTCGGATCTCGATAAGAGGTTTCCGGCCGGAATTCTGCACGAGCTTGCAAAACGCCAAAACCGGACGATATCGTTGACTTTGTTCCTCGACCGAGAATGCATGACTCGACGAATAAAAGGTAAGTTTTGCGGGATCTCTCGCAAAACTTTCTTTTCGAGTCTTTAATTGCCTACTCTCGTCAAAAGTTTCGAGGATGCACTCTCAGGTGCATCCTTACGCTTTAAGAGGACTCGAATCTTTATTGGTCAAGATTTTATTGCCACCTTCCGTTCAGAAGTTTCCAATCTTTAATGCTAAATGTCTCTCGCGCATTAAATGGTACGTTGAAGTATTATTAAAGTATTGGAACGCTGTTTGGAGAATTACGTAGAGATTTCATTCTTGATACAACAATTGCTGGGAGCGATATTACCTGGAATTCTATTAGAACGCTTCAATTTTCAATCGCGCGTACGGATCTGTTCGCGAATATTTCTATACAGAGTTTATCAGGGAGATGAGGCAAAAAGGAATTGCCAATCAAGGAAAAAATTTACAATCCGATTGACATCTGTCACAATTGTAATAACTGTCGAAGAGACATTTTGATTTCCCGTTCACGGAATAAAAAGATATCGAAAAGGAACGTTGAGAAGCGTGAGTATACGAGTAGTTAGCTCCCTCGCACACATCAAGAATGCCGTGGTAGAAACGCTAACGATGTTTGCCTCGCATGCTCAACCGCATTCTCTGGAATTTCCGCGTTCCCACAAAGCCTACATAGGTTAAGATAGATATAACTGACGCCACGTGTAATCTAAGTTAAGTAATCAAGCGAGAAATTTGAGACCGACTTAAAGCGGATGCATTTAAAATACTGCTGATACAATTATACAGACAATTGCACTATTATATAGTGGTCGTTTAGCGCGAAACGTACACGGTACGGTATCATATCTTCCTCACTTTAAAGAAACGAGAAGACTTTTAAAAGTACTTAATCTAAACTTTAGCTACTACGTCGTGATGCTTTTTCAAGATCCTGCAAAGAACGAAATGTAAAATCTCACCGTCCTGCGAAACAAAACGCGAGAATAACTGATTCCTCAACAATCCTCGAATTACCGTGTCACCCGATATATATATATATATATATATATATATATATATATATATATATATACACACACGTTGAGATT